CCACGGTGAATGCCGCGGGGAGGACGGTCGAATGCGGGGGAGGCTGTGTCCTCTCGGGGGCGAGTTGGAAAGAGGAAGAGGGGTGTGTCCTCTGGTGTCTGGACGCTTCTACGGCGGCGCGACACCAGCCCTCGGCGAGGGAGGTGAGCGGCTGCGCGAGCTGCACGTACCGCGCGATGAAGCGCAGCGTCACCAGCCTCGGCACCGAGACCGCGCAAGGCCGCGTCCAGCTCTGGTCGGCGGCGGTGGACAGCACGTCGACGGGAGTGCACTCGGGCAGCGAAGCCACGAGCTCGAGGAGCGCGCCCTCGTCGACGCCGCCCTCCCCGCCGCCGCCCCGCCTCCCCGCCGCCCCCCCGCCGCCGCCCGCGCCGCCCGCGCCGCCCGCGCCGTCCGCGCCGTCCGCGCCGTCCGCGCCGCCGCGCGCGCCGGAGGAGGAGGCGTGTGCGCCAAAGGCGGCGGCGCTGCCGCCTGCGGCGGCGACGCAGTCTGGCTCGTCGGGCGGCGGGCCGGCGCCCATGCAGTGCTGCTCCCACAGGTAGATGGCCGAGGCGAGCAGCTCGCGCCGGTACTCTGGCGAGAGCAGCGCGAGCCTGCGTGCCGACGTCACGCGCCGAGGTCGGGGAAGTGTCTAGGAAGTGTCGGGGAAGTGTCGGGGAAGTGTCGGGGAAGTGTCGGGGAAGTGTCGGGGAAGTGTCGGGGAAGTGCCGACGACACGCGCCGAGGTCCGGGCGGGGGGAAGACGGTGTCGTGCAGAGTAGTACTCGTGGCAAGGAGTGCGCGAGGCGAGAGGGGCTACGAGTACAGCGGGACGCCGCGGGGTGCGTCTCCCCTCGAGCACGAGCTGGGAGAGACGAGAGAGAGTGCGTCTTCCCCTTCTAGGAGCGCGCGCGGCGCGAGGGCGAGCCGCCGCGTGTGCACGCCCGCCGCCGGCGCCGCGACCCACGCGTGCACCACCGCCCAGCAGACCGAGGGCAACATCTGGAAGAGGGCGTTCTGGGCGACGGCCAGCCGCTCGCCCGCCGCGACGGCGCGCCTCGGCGCGGGCGGCGAGGGGGGCCAGGTGGCGGCGGGGGGGGGCTCGCCGAACGCGCAGAAGTGGTGCGTGTGCTGCAGCGCGACGAGAAGCGCCTCGACCTGGCCAGGCGTCTAGGAAGTGTCTAGGAAGTGTCTAGGAAGTGTCTGAGAAGCGCCTCGACCTGGCCAGGCGGCGGGGAGAGGTCGGGAGGAGGTCGGGAGGAGGTCGGGAGGAGGCCGGGAGGAGGCCGGGAGGAGGCCGAGGGGAGGCCGAGGGGAGGCCGAGGGGAGGCCGAGGGGAGGCCGAGGGGAGGCCGAGAGGAGGTCGGGCGGAGGTGGGGTTGGGCG